CATCCCTGGATGCCTGTCCATTTTTCAAAGAGCTGTATGTCTCATTTCAGCAATCGCTCACTGGCAGCGCCCTGAGAGCCTATCATGTAGGGGTTCAAATTATATTTCTGAGGTTATCCTACAACAGATAGGCTTCCCACTGCTATGGGACCGACTGGCGATATATGAAAACTACCCACGGCCGCTTCGTCCAGCTGTTCTTACAAGCCGTGCCTCAAAATATCTGAAATTCAAACACGCAGAGTTAAAAGGCGCTCATATTGACAGCTCTATTACTGCAAATCATCCATTTTTTAGTGGAAGAAAAGACTTCTAATGATGCAGTAAAGTTGAATATATTTTGCATAGATTTATTAATTATCTATTGGTATCAGATTACATTTTACAGGCTATCCATTTTTTACACACAGTTTTGAACTTTTGGGCTATTCCATTTGTAATCTATTGTGTTATTCAGACTACTATGTATCACGACTAATGAAGGGAAAACATCTAAAACATGCATTTTAAGGAGAAATGATTTACTCAACCTTTACTTGTTCCAAACCAGTTTGAATTTCTTTCTTCTGTTGAACATAAAAGAAGATATTTTGCAGAAAATGGACACATAAAACTAGAGATCTGCGCGGGACAAAATTTTTAAATCCCTCCCTAACCCAACCGCTCCCGCTTACATTCAGCATTTGTTGTCCCGCTGCCCGACCTGCCCGTTTTCTACCCGCCGCGCCCGATTCGGCTAAAGATCCCGCTAAACCACCCAGCTATACAGAGTCCAGACAGCCTATAACAGGGGTCTCAAACTCAATTTACCTGGGGGCCGCAGGAGGCAAAGTCTGGGTGAGGCTGGGCCGCATAAGGGATTTCACAAAAAAAAAAAAAGTCCTCAGATGTCATTATTAACAGTTTTAATTATTTCTTCTGAACATGAAGTGTCCTGAACATTAATAGAACATTGAGTGATGATTATGAACAGTTCTTCTGAACATGGCATCTTTTGCCTACTTCTTGCTACCAGAGACTTGACAGCGCTTCTTCTCACAAATCTGAACCACATTTGGCTTTAGAGCGGAAGCAGTTGAGACCCTCAGTATGGCTTGAAGATGATCATCATTAAGTCTAGACCTGTACTTTGACTTATTGAAGTCCTAGGGAAAAAAGTGGGGGAACTCACTCAAAACTTCCATTCCCTCACCTAAAAAAAAAGCGTATATATGTATAAATAAAACACCCCCACCCCACTCCAGTCACATCAGTCTGTACCAGTCTGTATCTACCTATAATATATATAAGATGCAGGGCAGGCACGTGCACACATAGGGCTCAAGCTGTGCAGTAACACATGCCCTTTTTAGTCTTGCATAGAAAGTGCCCTTCCAAAATGATCAAAAGTGCCCCCGCGACGCGACACACCCTCGGTCCCGCCCTTCAGTAGGCGCACGATAACACCGCTCTTGAGTACGCGCGCGACAACACAGCTGATCAGAACGCGCGCGACAACACGCATTGAGTGTCAAGCGCGCTGTGTACGGATAGAATCAGCGGAGCGGGGAGCGCTCTCTCTCCCCGCTCCGCAGATTCTGTCAGTGTACAGTGGTCGGCGCGGGCCACAAAATATTGCACTGAGGGCCGCAAATGGCCCGCAGGCCGCGAGTTTGAGACCCCTGGCCTATAACAAGCTGTCTGTATAAACACACACACACACACACACACACACAGCAATAAACAAGCTAAACACAGCATCGCGCTATTTCATTTACACACATACATACGCGTGCTTGCTCAGGAGTCGGGAGTGATATTGCTAGACGGCCCGCTCCTGTCCCAAATTAAACCCGTTACCAACCGCTCCCGCGCTTTATCCTGAAATTTATTCCCGCAGACCTCTACATGAAACCATTGTCTTCCATAGTATTTGTTTTTCCTACTATGCAAGTCAATGATTACAGGTTTCGAGGGGTGCTTTCACACCTAGACTTTTTGTCTCATTTGCCTAGTTAGCACGGTTCGGTTGGCATATGTGAATCCACCAATCACGCTCGGATCCGAGTCAAAACAATCGCTCTGGGATCGCTTGAATGAGGTGGTCTCGGCTCGATTGAAACGAACTCTGGAGCGGATCGATAGAGTATATGCCGAGCTAGCTCTCTGCAACTCTCACATGGTCGCCCACTGAAGCTAAGCAGGGCTGTGCCCGGTCAGTACCTGGATGGGAGACCACATGGGAAAGCTAGGTTGCTGCCGGAAGTGGTGTTAGTGAGGCCAGCAGGGGGCGCTCAACCTGTGGTCTGTGTGGGTCCTAATGCCCCAGTATAGTGACGGGGTCTCTATACTGCTCAGTAAGCGCCGTCTTTCGGATGAGACGTTAGACCGAGGTCCCGACTCTCTGTGGTCGTTAAAAATCCCAGGATGTCCTTCGAAAAAGAGTAGGGGTTTAACCCCGGCATCCTGGCCAAATCTGCCCTCTGGCCTCAGTCCATCATGGCCTCCTAACTTTCCCCATATCATAATTGGCATATCATTACTCTGTCTCCTCTCCAGCAATCAGCTGGCGTGTTGTGTGCGGTCTGGTGCAAAATGGCTGCCGTTGCGTCATCCAGGTGGATGCTGCACACTAGTGGTGGATGAGGAGATTCCCCCCATTGTGTAAAGCGCTTTGAGTGCCTAGAAAAGCGCTATATAAATGTAAGGAATTATTATTATTATTATTATTAGTGTTGTTCCCATACTGATAAATGTCCGGTGAGCTGTTATTGTGAATTTTTTTCCGTTTCATACAGTTCCTTTTACAGCATCGATGTTGTAATGTAATTAAAATACATTCAGTGAAATAAACTTTGGCATTCATTTAGTTGTTCAGGCATAACACGAAACAAAAGGTCTTTTAAATGCACGCATTCGTCAGAATCGGCTGGCTACATTGAATATACTGGGGTAAAATAAATGCTCATATAATAAAGACATGGCGGGGGAAATGTAATTTAATGCAGTGCTTCTTGTACAATCTGAGACTCAGTTTGTATCGGATATCACTCAGCCAGTGGAGATCGTTGATTTTTAAAGAAAACTGACCTTAAACGTGCCGATTTTTACATTGGCAAACGCGATTTTTACATTGGCAAACAGTTTAACGAAAGCGCTTAACCCAGGTTACTGGCAAATTAAAAGTCCTATTAGCATGCTTTGGCATATACCCCATTGTATTGAGAAATCGATACGATCCGAGCCTGGTTACATCACAGTGTTTTATTGGATATGTAATAGGCATACGGCTATATGAAGATAGAATTATGAGTAAGGCGGCGGGGGAGGGGGGGGGGGGGTCATTCAACAGACATTCCAAGTCTCCTGGAAGTTTCAGGAGTATCCTGCAAATGCACAGACTCCCACATGCCCGCAAACGAGTGATAATCTTCCGGACATCGCGCGTCTCCCTGCCGGTCCTCAAATACATCACACACCCTTCTCATCCCTCCGCATCCCTCCTCGCTCTTCAGACACGTCGCGCACACCCTGTCAAACACCACCAAACCACTACCCCCCGACAGCTTATCGGGACTGTGCAAAATAAACCCTGAAACTCTGATCAATGTAAGGAGAGTTTACTGACACGTGACTTGTTTTAGCTCTTTTGGTCTGTTTAGAAACTTTGCCATGTGAAAGCGAACCACACCAAGAGCAAAGAGCAACAATGTAACAATTTCAATGCCTGTTTCGGAACAACTGAATCGATTCACAGGTGTGAAAGCACCCGAGCTCTCCTCAAAACATCTCCTTTTGAGTTCAACAGAAGAATGAACCTGAACTGGTTTGAAACCTCTTAAGAGGGATTAAACTTTCATTCTGGGGTGAATTATTCCTTTTACATTTGACACTTTATCTATTTGTATATGCAAATTCATAGTTTTATTATTCCAATTAAAAACAAATGTTTTAAAATGTCCCAAACATCAAGCATACTGGTATTCAACACCTTTAACAGGTTTATTTCTAAAGGGTTTGTTTGAATAACATTTAACATTTGATAACAAAAGATTTAGAAGTTGAAACACATGCGCTATAGGTGAATTGATGAACTAAACTGCCCGTAGGGTGTGTGTGTGTGTGTGTGTGTGTGTACATGTTTTTGTGACATATCAGGACACAAATCTGTATAATGACATGGGAATGACACAGGTATTACAAAAAGGAGGTGAAATATAAGGGCATTGGTGACGTCCTCATTTCTCAAAATGCTTATAAATCCTACACAATGAGTTTAATCAGAGAGTAAAGCTGCACACAGTCTCCTGTGATGGTTGGGTTTAGGGGTGGGGTGAGGGCAATATAATATACGGTTTGGAAAGTAAAAGATGAATGGAAACCTATGTAATGTCCCCACTTTTCACAAAAACAAACGTGTGTGTGTGCGTGCGTGCGTGCGTGCATGCGTGCGTGCATGCGTGCGTGCGTGTGTGTGTGTGTGTGGATGATTCCCATTTCTGGGTTGCGGTTGAAAGGGCATCCACTGTGTAAAACATATGCTGGATAAGTTGGCGGTTCATTCCGCTGTGGCCACCAGTGATTAATAAAGGGACTAAGCTAAAGGAAATTGAATTAATGAATGATCGATAATATAAAAAATAATTGGTTGTATTTTAATGCAACTTTAACCAAGATATTAATAACTGGAGCAAGTTTACAACAAAATATGGCATGCAGGAAAACAGTTGGTGGCGTCCATTTTGTGTTTGGAAAAGCTGCACCTTGTTTTGATCCCTTTTGCAAAATCCAGGTTAAGATGGTGGCAGCAGTTTTGGTTGCAGAAGCATATCATAGGGCCAGTTTCCTCAGGGAGAAACCAAGGGTTTAATCTCATGCTCAGGGGCGCAGTGCCTGCGGGTTTAATACTTAATACCAAAATATTTAACCATGGTTCCAAATCAAAACCTTTACTCTTTTAAAATATCTCATTAAAAGTCTCTTCATTTAACACGTCATCTGTTCTATGTTTGTCCCTAAAGGACTTGGCTGCTCTTGTGGCGAATGGCACCGTCACCAGTAAGCCTCCGGTCACACTGCGGCTGGTCATCCCGGCCAGCCAATGCGGTTCCCTCATCGGCAAAGGCGGCTCCAAAATCAAAGAGATCAGAGAGGTGAGTGCTTTTCCATATCCCCTATCTTGCTTTTCTCTGCCCCAGGACGTCCATGTTAGGACTGCTTGCTCCGTTGCATATTTCATGCGTTTGGATGCCAGTAAAAGCCCATTTATTTTACATTTATGGTCTCAGGGCTGTCAGGATGCCATGAGGTAATGGTGAACGGTCTGTCACGCTAAATTTGGAGCGTACCGTAATGCAGTAGCAGGGGGTGCGGGGAAGGTTGTTGGTGTTGGGGGAATTCAAACGCGTTAAGCTAATCAAAGAGGGAGAGTCTGTTTTCAAACTGTTTGGTGGGCTTTCAAGTTAGCAGCACCAAGTAAACAGAGTAGATCTGAGCGGTTTAGGCCTTTCCTTTTAAGTCATTTGGTTTGCTAAAGCAACTCGTAGATTGTAGAGTAATTCCACTTGATTCTAAGGATATTTTTGGACAGTGTTTCTCAACCACATTCCTGGAGACCTGTAATAGGTGTGAAAGACAAAGGGACATCCAAAACATGCAGTGTTAGTGGTTCTTCAGGATTATGGTTGAGAAACAAAGCTTTAGGTGACAACTTTAAATTGAAATCCCTGCCTAGTACAAGTACAGGGTTTCGATTAGCTAACTTATCTAAATAGCTATGCTTCTAGCCCTAATCTAATAATGTTGTGTGAGATTTATTTTCATATTTCATAAAATATGTGTCAGTAAAACCCTGTTTCTATCTCATACACTGTTAAATATGCAGGCTTACACACAATTCATTAATGTAGTCAGAACACAAATCGATTAGGTGAACTTAACAATGTAAACCAGGGGTGTCAAACTCAATTCCTGGAGGGCCGAAGCCCTGCACAGTTTAGTTCCAACCCTGCTCCAACACACTTACCTGTAGGTTTCAAACAAGCCTGAAGGACTCGATTAGTTTGATCAGGTGTGTTTAATTAGGGTTGGAACTAAACTGTGCAGGGCTGCGGCTCTTCTGGAACTGAGTTTGACACCTGTGACGTAAACAGTTTGAACATAAAACAATCGAGTTCTCCCAAAAAAAGTCTCAAGAATTGTGTTATTTCAGCTCATTTTATGTAAGTAGTTCAAACAAGCAGCAATCATGTTTTGAGTGTATGTTCAAGGGAATAAAAGTAAGTAATTATTCTTGAAGTTTTGAATCCTTTAGGAATCTTTTGATTTGAATCAGTGGTTCGGAGTGCGTATCAAATTGGCAAGATCATGTTATTTCAGGTGAGGCAGTGGCGCAGTAGGTAGTGCTGTCACCTCACAGTAAGAAGGTCGCTGGGTCACTGGTTCGAACCTCTGCTCAGTTGGCGTTTCTGTGTGGAGTTTGTATGTTCTCCCTGCCTTCGTGTGGGTTTCCTCCGGGTGCTCCGGTTTCCCCCACTGTCCAAAGACATGCGGTACAGGTGAATTGGGTAGGCTAAATTGTCCGTAGTGTATGACTGTTTGTGTGGATGTTTCCCAGAGATGGGTTGCGGCTGGAAGGGCATCCGCTGCGTAAAAACTTGCTGGATAAGTTGGCGATTCATTCTGCTGTGGCGACCCCGGATTAATAAAGGGACTAAGCTGACAAGTAAAATGAATGAATGAAGCTTAGATTTTCCCACCTGTCATGTTTTAGAACAAATGGGGCACAGCATGTGTATTCGGAAATAACTTTTTTGAACACACTTTGTTTTACTGTTCATTCATTCGTTTACTGGAAATTAGAACTGACTTAAGAAATAGTTTTGAAACAAATATTTGCACTTAATAAATCAAATTAATTATGTATAGGCTAATGATTGCACTGTAAAAAGTGGAAACTTAAACTAATTACTTTGACTTGTTACAATTAAATGAATAAAGTTTGACAAACTTAATTTATAACAGTTTTTAGTAATACGTTAAGTTAGTTAATTAATATGTGACAGGTTTTAGTAATTTATTTATTTTTTCATTCATTTATTTATTTTCTTGCCGGCTTAGTCCCTTTATTAATCCGGGGTCGCCACAGCGGAATGAACCGCCAACTTATCCAGCAAGTTTTTACGCAGCGGATGCCCTTCCAGCCGCAACCCATCTTTGGGAAACATCCACAAACACATTCACACACACACACACAACGGACAATTTAGCGTACCCAATTCACCTGAAGCACATGTCTTTGGACTGTGGGGGAAACCGGAGCACCCGGAGGAAACCCACGCGAAGGCAGGGAGAACATGCAAACTCCACACAGAAACGCCAACTGAGCAGAGGTTTGAACCAGCGACCCAGCGACCTTCTTGCTGTGAGGCGACAGCACAACCTACTGCGCCACTGCCTCGCCCACTAATTTATTTATGGAAAGTATAAGTATTGTTCGCTATCAATAATGAGCAATACTTGTATTTGCCACAAAATATTATTTTTTATTTGCCACAAGTATTATTTTTACATTTACAAGGGAAGGAAATCATTTGTATAAAAGTACTTTTTACTATTATTATAATTACAATATTATATTGAAGGATTTGTGCTGTACTGTACTTTACCGTTCCATTCTTGTTTTCTAAAATAAATGACTAAAACCTGTTACACCTAAAATAATTACCTTAATTTATTACTGAAAACTGTCATACATTAAGTTTGCCAAACTTATTTCATTTAATTGTAACAAGTCAAAGTAATTTGTTTAAGATTTCACTTTTTACAGTGTGTCTGTGCGCACAGCACATTTCCCTATCCAAAAGAGTGAAAGCGAAAGTAAACAATGAGGAGGCTCATTCTCTCATTCTCGCGCTGTGGATGCTCTGATTAACTGATTTCTCTCTAGTGAAGCGTTCCGTTTTTTAAACTTACAAAGTCCGCCATGTAAATAGCAAATGCGCTATGGCACGACGACAACTGTCTACAACTACAACTGACTCCTAAAAGAAATGGAAATGAGACTCTGATTGGTTTGTTCTCAAAACACACCTATAACTCATTAAGAGAATAAGCTCAACCCTGTTAGACCATGCGCCACGATGCAAAGCAGATTTTTCCTTCCTTAAAGGGCCACGAAACCCCCTCGTTTCAGCAGGGTGTTTTCACACCTCTACTTCGGAAAAAGTCAGAAAAGCGGGCGTGTCCAGCTCTGTTTAGGGGGGAGTGTCGGAGGAACTAAAGTGGGATGGTGTGGGAGTGTCTATTTGGGCACGCGCGAGTTTCAGTCAAAATACTCACACGAGAAAGTGATGGTGTATTTTTTACAGTCATTGTGTTTAACCTACATGGACATCTGTAGTGGAATTATTTGCCAAATTATTAAATGTTGGACTTTAACTGTTTGGCTCTTTCATTCAGGGAATTCATTCATGCCCTCGCGACAAACGTGATATTTGATTCGAGGATCTGCTCTAAGCGTGTATTTTTCATGCAATGTTTGATACCGCACGGCGAATGAGAGAAAAAAAAGCTCCGCAATTCCCGGAAACTTAGATGCACACGGCAGGTAGCGTCAGAAAGCCGTGTGTGTTATTCCGGTCACAAAATGCGGTGCTAACAAGTTTGCACTCAGTGCAATAGTTAACTTAATTCGATACGAACAAACTGAATAAACAAATAGCACTGGTCGCTCACTTACCAAATCTGTAGAGACAGGACAATCACCAGCAACTAGAGCCGCGTCTTTATGAAGAGAAGACTACAAGCTAATCCGGATTTCAGCGTTTGCAGATGAGAACAGCTCTCAGGTAAACAATAATCCTCATTGGACACGTAATTTATTGTTGTCGAGCGTCGCGTACACTGTTAATCCACACGTGAGTCTGAGCTCTCACAGAGAGAAAATGAAAACGAAACTTAACTGCAGCAAACTATAAAAGCAACACTTCACGCTTGTTTTGCCAACACAACGTGGCGTCTCTGGTGTAAACAGTGACACTAATGAATATTAATGAAGTTGCAGAATAGAGCGCGCTGATTGGTTTGAGCCAAGTCTTACTCATGCATTAATGCATCACACTGTAAGACGTAATAAGACACACTCTGGCACAGACGCCCAGTCTGCACGCTGGAATACAACGCTATTATGTCATGACCGTGACGCAGCTTCAAAAATTCGTTTCAAACAGGAAGTACGAATTTGCTTGAAATAACGCAAAAACAACCAATTTACACTTTTTAGTGAAATATAGGTGTCCTAATAGTGTTTTTAGCAGTGTGGGACACATATACCACTGTCAACAGCTCAAAAAATGTGTTTTGGTGTTTCGTGACCCTTTAAAATAGCAAAAGTGTATTCGAACACCTTAATATATTGCGCCCTGCTCTTTGGACTTTGCGCCTGGATCGTCAAAATAGAGCCCAATGTATGTGAAGCACTGTATGTTCTCCGTCTTGCCATTTCCATCCCATGTTTTCTATGTGATACTAGGGCTGTTCCTAAAGAATCTCTTTCTCCTCCAATGCTAAATAAAGCCAGAAGCTAAACGCAAGCTCTTTAGGAATTCTTTTCAGACAGGTGTGTGGGAGCTCGACTCTGCAGGGAGCCTCCGATTGGACACCTGACCTCAAAAGCGCACGCCGCTAATCATCTGTGGGTCTTATGTGTTGCAGAAAACAGGGGCTCAGGTACAGGTGGCAGGAGATCTGCTCCCCAACTCCACGGAGCGAGGTGTGACGATATCTGGCAGTCAGGACGCCATCATCCAGTGTGTCAAGCTCATCTGCACTGTAATACTGGAGGTAATTTGACTTCCAGGCGAATCCATTTGGCTTCATTAAGGCGAGTTGTGCATGCGTGCATCATTGATATTCTTAATCTGCAGGACTTCAAAGGCCTCGGCACTTCAAAGCGAGAATAGCGGCGTCAGCTGAAGCATTGTACAGAACGCAATACATTCCCAAACACAGATATGTTTATAGCTTTCCGCAGATTTCCTAAGACACTTCAACTAACTAAGCGCACATTACAGTAATGATTAGCGAATTCGCTCGATCGAATCTCCCACTGCGTGAAGCGCGTTCGCTCTCAAATGGTTTTCTTTTGCGCACAAATGGATCGGAAAGGAAGAATCTCTATATTTTATTCAGCCGGGCTGTGCTGCTCGTCCTCTTTAATTTTTAAAGGAGCAGATGAGGGGCAGATTGTTGACTGCTACGCTTCCCATTTTAGGAATCCTCAGCTGTCTGCCCCGCTTCAGGATGGAAATTATGCAAAGTCAACCGATGAATATTTAAAGCCAGTCTTTGTGTTTGGTTGAGCGGGCATAGGGTGGGGAGGGGGATGTGCTTCGCTTGGTTTTCATCACCTTATTCTGACCTCTTGCGTTTTATCTTAATCAAATTACCGCAGATCCGCTTAGTTAACTGTACACTTATCTGTTGTTATTCCATGTAAGATGTTCTTCAGGCGAAGACGACACCTTGTCTAATAGGCCAAGAGTAATTTCACACTCGATTTGTAAATGCGTTTGCTTTCTTTTTGAAGTATTAATCTGGGTTTGAACAACAACAAGCCGCTCAAAGAAAGCATGCTTCGGGTGCTGCGTTTTCCATCACAGGATCTCATGAGCAAGCTTTAATAGCGTTTCTGAAATAATCTGGCCAAATGACTTCCTGTGAGAGGCTAATGGTGTGCTTTTAAGTGATCAGATGAGGAGCCGATCGATAAATGTTGCATTTGTGCGCCATGTCAGCGTTTCCAGTCATTAAGATAATATGACTGCGCAAATGCCTTAGGTAAGAGAATCCCACAGTTTTCTTTTGTTTTTTGTTTAAGATGTGCAGACTGCAGATTTAGGCGGAGAATGGTCGATTGGGAGAGTTTATTAAACTGTGTTAAAATGTTACGATTTTTTTAATTTGTGTTCGCAGTCTCCTCCAAAGGGGGCTACAATTCCGTACCGCCCCAGTCCTGCTCCAGGTGCAGTTCTTCTTGCTGGAAATCAGGTACGAAATACACATCTACACATGAATAAACATGCTTCTTTTATTAATGATAGTAAGAGTCTTGCTTTTTATTCCTAAAGCATAACAAATAAAGGTGCACTGCAGGTGATTTTTGAGTAAAAAAAAAAAAAAATATTTAAAACATCACTTTTTTTGGAAATAGGCTGATTTTACAAGTGCATTAGAGTTACATAGTTGAGTTTCACCATTTTGTAATTCATTCAGATCATTTTCACATCTGGCAGAGCTCTTTTAGCTTAGCTTAGCTTAGCATAGACTATTGAATCGGAAAAGACCTTTTACACAGCAGATGCCCTTCCAGCTGCAACCCAACACTGGGAAACATCCAAACACACTCAATCACACACATACACTACGGACAATTTAACTTACCCAATTCACCCATACCACATGTCTTTGGACTGTGTGGGGAACCTGAGCGACCGTTAGCATCTCATTCGATAGTTTTCCTATTCAAACCTAGACTCTAGAGATTTTCCTATTTAAAGCTAGACTCTTCTTTAGTTACATTGTGTACAAAGCTGGCGTTATTGTAAAAGTTGCTATTCTCACATCTGGTGGGAGCTCTTTTAGCTTAGCATAGATCATTTTATCAGATTAGACCATTAGCATTCATTCATTCATTCATTTCTTTTCGGCTTAGTCTCTTTATTAATCATGGTTTGCCACAGCGAACTGTACCGCAAACTTATCCAGTATGTTTTACGCAGCAGATGCCCTTCCAGCCGCAACCCAACACTGGGAAACACCCATACATATTCATTCACTCACACACACACACACACTATGGACAATTTAGCCTACCCAATTCACTTATAGCACATGTCTTTGGACTTTGTGGGAAACCTGAGCGACCATTAGCATCTCATTCGATAGTTTTCCTATTCAAACCTAGACTCTTCTGTATTTACATTGTGTATAAAACTAGTCTTATTGTATAAGTTCCCTGCTGAAAAATCCAGCTTAAACCAGCCTAGACTGGTTGGCTAGTTTTAGCTGGTCGACCAGGCTGGTTTTAGAGGGGTTTTGGCCATTTCCAGGCTGGTTTCCAGCCATTTCCAGCCTGGTTTTAGCTGGTCAGGCTGGAAAGTGACCAGCCAAATCCAGCTAAAACCAGCTTGACCAGCCTGGTTTAAGCTGGACAGAGCTGGTTTTGGCTGGGCTCCCAGCCTGGCTAGGTTGGCCGAGCTGGTTTTAGCTGGTCATCTTCCAGTCTGACCAGCTAAGACCGGGCTGGAAATGGCTGGAAACCAGCCTGGAAATGGCCCAAACCCCTCTAAAACCAGCCTGGTCAACCAGAGGAAACCAGCCAACCAGCCTAGAATGATTTAAGCTGTTTTTTTTCAGTAGGGTTGCTATTTCCACATATGGCGAGAGCTCTTTTAGCTTAGCTTAGCATCGCTCATTGGATCAGATTCGACCATTAGCATCTCATTTGATAGTTTTTTTAAACCAAAGACTCTATTGTAGTTACATTGTGTATAAAAGTGGTGTTATTGTAAAAGTCGCTATTTCTAAATTGATATGGCAATTATTGCAAGAGTGTGTTGGTGTTTACCACTGTTGGGTTGCGGTTGGAAGGGCATCTGCTGCGTAAAACATATGCTGGATAAGTTGGCGGTTCATTCCGCTATGGTGACACCTAATTAATAAAGAGACTAAGCTGAAAACAAAATTAATGAATGAGTGAATAATATGGCAATTATATTACACCACACCTGAAAAAAAGTCCCCAGCCAGGTAACTAGGCAACAGCATTGTATAATATCTATGTGCCTGCTGTAGCCGTGGTATGGCAGCAAAGTTCTTTTGTTATTAAGTTGAAATGAGAGTGTAGTTCCTAGCCATGTTGACCTGAAAAATAGCAACTTTTTTATTTTCTGTTGGTTTTAGTACATGATAACTGTAGAAAAGTCAAGAATAAAATGAATTATTTTACAATTTTCTGATTAAGATGCTAATAGTCTAATCCAATTCAATGATTTATGCTATGCTAAGCTAAAAGAGCTCCCGCCAGATGTGGAAATAGCAACTTTTACAATAACACCAGTTTTATACACAATGTAAATACAGAATAGTCTAGCTTTAAATAGGAAAATTATCGAATGAGATGCTAACGGTCTAATCCGATTTAATGATTTATGCTAAGCTAAGCTAAAAGAGCTCCAACCAGATGTAGAAAAAGCTGCTTTTACAATAACACCAGTTTTATACACAATGTAACTACAGAAGAGTCTAGCTTTAAATAGAAAAATTATCAAATGAGATGCTAACGGTCTAATCCGATTTAATGATTTATGCTAAGCTAAGCTAAAAGAGCTCCAACCAGATGTAGAAAAGGCTGCTTTTACAATAACACCAGTTTTATACACAATGTAACTACAGAAGAGTCTAGCTTTAAATAGAAAAATTATCAAATGAGATGCTAACGGTCTAATCCGATTTAATGATTTATGCTAAGCTAAGCTAAAAGAGCTCCAACCAGATGTAGAAAAAGCAGCTTTTACAATCACACCAGTTTTATACACAATGTAACTACAGAAGAGCCAGCTTTATATAGGAAAACTATCAAATGAGATGCTAACGGTCTAATCCGATTTAATGATTTATGCTAAGCTAAGCTAAATAGCTCCAACCAGATGTAGAAAAAGCAGCTTTTACAATCACACCAGTTTTATACACAATGTAACTACAGAAGAGCCAGCTTAAAATAGGAAAACTATCAAATGAGATGCTAACGGTCTAATCCGATTTAATGATTTATGCTAAGCTAAGCTAAATAGCTCCAACCAGATGTAGAAAAAGCTGGTTTTACAATAACACCAGTTTTATACACAATGTAACTACAGAAGAGCCAGCTTTAAATAGGAAAACTATCAAATGAGATGCTAACGGTCTAATCCGATTCAATGATTTATGCTAAGCTAAGCTAAAAGTGCTCCCACCAGACCCAAAAATACCCTAAATGAAAAAATATGGTACAACTCGCCTGTTTAATTCTAGAGGACTTGTAAAATGAGCGTATTTCCAAAAAAATTGGAAAAAAAGAGTTCCTTTCATGTTGAAGTACATCAGGTATCGGTGGTTTCTTCTAAATGGTTATTCTTACTGTAAAACTGTAAAACAATGTTCAGCTGTTACTGCATAATTTTCCTCCATTTTCACATTTAAAGACCTCAAACCATCAAGCTGAATAGTTACTCAAATGATTCATGAGTTATTAAAGCTCTTTCATTACTCTGTGAGCAACTTGCAGGTTTATTTTTGACCTGTGAGATGGCTAAATCCTCGGCAGAGCACCTTTAAATGTTAAAGACATTGTGTTGAATGCTGTATTCTTCTGTGGAGCAAAGCTGATATTTTGGGGAAGGTAAAAATGTTGTCAAGCTCCAAAATAGCAATTGTTTATTGTATTTGTAGTAAAATAATGGCATATTTTTCATTTATTTGATCCAAGTTAGCCTTCACACATTAAAAATGAATATTCTGCTGTTATTTACTCATTTTTGACACTTTTTTTCATCCATTGAGCACAAAAGCTCATATTTTAAGGAGTTTTGTAAACCTGTAAGCATTTATTTCCATAGTAATTTGTTTTATTGACTAGGAACGTCAATGATTACAGGTTTTCAGCTTTCCACAACATATATTCCTTTGTGTTCAACAGAAGAAAGAAGTAAAGGAAGGGTAAACGATGACAGGATCTGTATTAGTTGAATGAACTATCCCTTTAAGGCCTTGTTCACAACGCATACAAATCTGATTTGTTTTATTCAAATCCACTCTTGAGGGCTGGCAGTCCAGTATCAAGACATTCAGGCAGTCTAGTCCACGTCTAGTGCATCTACATTGATTCTGACAGACATGACGTCGGTGTTGCTACGATGCTAAAAGTGCTCTTTCTTCCTCATCTGAAATAAGCGAGTTGTCACTGTTGATGCCTATAATGGCTTCACAGCAATGTGCTAAAATGAAGACCTTATTTCACCAAGTATGAAGGAAGTTTGCATTGGATTGTATAAAATCAGCACTGATCAATCTGTTGCTTACCCCAAGCAGAAAAATTTCTGATGCCCCTGTGAACAAGGCCTAATTATTTATAATATAATCCTCATAATTACAGATGGAATCAATTAGCATTTGCACAAGTGTAAAACCCACCAGAGTGCAATGCTGATGTTGAATATAGTAGAGTTTAATACAGAGCTGACAGCATGCGCCCTTTATTTCCCTTAATAAATCAACTCTGTCCATCATTGAAAGGTGTTGGTGGGGGTAGGTTTTGTTTGTGAAATATTTCTTTGCTGTGTAAGTTTTAGCTCCATTATATAATTAGCATGCATATCTAACACATCATGTGGCGATTTGCAAACTTATTCAGCGCAAACAGCTTCTTTAATGCGACTTAGCTGTAAATGAGACTGGGGAATGGAGTTATGTACTGTCTTCATTCACTCACCGGCCACTTTATTAGGTACAACTGCTTGTTAAGACAAATTTCAGCCAATCACATGGCAGCAGCTCAATGCATTGAGGCATGCCGACATGGTCAAGACTATCCGCTGCAGTTCAAAGCGAGCATCAGAATGGGGAAGAAAGCATATTTAAGTGACTTTTAATGTATTTTAGAAACTGCTGATTTACTGGGATTTTCACGCACAACCATCTCTAGGGTTTACAGAGAATGGTCCGACAAATAGGAAATATCCAGTGAGAGGCAGTTCTGTTGGTGCAAATGCCATGTTGATGCCAGAGGTCAGAGGAGAATGGCCAGACTGGTTCCAGCTGATAGAAAGGCAACAGTAACTCAAATAAGCACTCGTTACAACCGAGGTCTGCAGAAGAGCATCTCTGAACACACAACACATACAACCTTGAGGCAGATGGGCTACAGCAGCAGAAAACCACAACGGGTGCCACTGCTGTCAGCTAAGAACAGGAAACTGATGCTACACATCACACAGGCTCACCAAAACTGGACAATAGAAAATTGGAGAAACATCGCCTGGTCTGATGAGTCTCCATTTCTGCTACCACATTCGGATGGTCAGGTCAGAATTTGGCCTCAACAACATGAAAGCATAGATCCATCCTTTCTTGTATCAGTGGTTCAGGCTGCTGGTGGTGGTGTAATGGTGTGGAGGAGATTTTATTGGCACACTTTGGGTCCATTAGTACCAATTGAGCATTGTGTCAACGCCACAGCCTACTTAAGTATTGTTGCTGACCATGTCCATCCCATTATGACCACAGTGTACTCGTCTTCTGATGGCTACTTCCAGCAGGGTAACGCGCCATGACATAAAGCGCCAATCATCTCAGACTGGTTTCTTGAACATGACAATGAGTTCACTGTACTCTAATGGCCTCCACAGTCACCAGAACTCAATCCAATAGAGCACATTTGGGATGTGGTGGAAAGGGAGATTGGCATGATGATATCATGTCAATATGGAACAAAGTCTCTGAGGAATATTTTCAGTAGCTTGTTGAATCTATTGGGGCAAAAGGGGGTACAAAAGGGGGTACAACCTGCTACTCAATAGGTGTACCTAATAAAGTGGCCGTTGAGTCAATTTTGTCAGATTTATTTTCGTGTAAATAACCTATAAAGTATTCTCATTGACATTGTCAGATTGAGTTAAATGGCCCTCCATCCCTCCCAGGCTTGTTTTCGTCCTCGTCAAATGAAATATGCTGTCTTGTACTCTTTAATCTACCGTTTGTCCTATTATTCACTTCACATAATTCTCTAACGCGTTGCTAGACGAGTAGAGAGGCTGTTATGTTTATTCATGTTGACACGGCTATTCATTATCGACGCTTCTACGCATGAATAACAGTAGCATTAAGATCAATCAGGCTCATGAATATTCCTGGCCATTAAAAGTCCTCCTCGCCATTGGTGTAATTAATCGTAAACTTTGACGTGCGCACTTACAACGCATCGTTTGTTTGATATATTCAGCCGTCTGTCATGACAAAAGCAAGATTAATGTCTAATAATGCAATTAATGTTCAGATTCCTCATTAACGCTTCTCTGTTTGATTTCATATCACGCTTGATGCTAATGACAGCCGAATTGAGCCTTGGTTTGTGTCTCTGTCCCCTATTTGCCTTCTTAAGGTTTTCGAAACGTCAGAGTTTGCGTCTCATCCGCTTTTCTCAGTGGCTCAGGGAGGCCTGGATCTGCAACAAGTGAGTATCATCAATCCATGACGAACAATATAGGGAGCAGCGCCTCCCGCTCTTTCTTTATTTGCCTCTTTCGCCCCTGCATGAAGATGGGAATTCTGATCCCTTCTGTCGTTCCTCTTGCCGCATGTTGCAGCCAGTGTCCTCCCCACTTGAGCAAGGGAGCGAGACTGTACAGCAATTACTGGTTGTAGACATGAGTTTTTCCACTTGACGTTAGATTCAGGCATGGCTTTACCCTTGAAATGCTGCAGTTTTATTGAATTATGGCACAGAATTGTGTTGGTTTTGTAAAGCAGTGTAAACTTTACAGATATAAAGTAATGGTGTTCCCCTATGTGTTAGGTCTAATTGTTTTTTGAGACATGATTGTTTCAAATGGCAATTTAAGGTTTGTTCTCATGCAGGCAAAGTGTTAATATGTGTCTTTGTATTAAATTAATTGTTTACATAAAATCTAATTTTTCCAGTATAACACTAAAGAACCCATGTGATTTCAAATATTTCCAAAATTACAAATCCACACATTGATGTTTGGAATGAGCTAAAATGTCCATATTGCTATATAACAGGGGTGTCCAAACTTTTTGGGCCGAGGGCCAGATGCAAAAAAAAACAAAACTTTGTCCCGGGCCAAATTTTACATACATCACACAGACATGCATGCATATATATATATATATATATATATATATATATATATATATATTTTTTTTTTTCGTGCTAATAAAGTGCAATAAAATTCTACACTGGCTAGTTATGAGGTATATATATATATATATATACACATATATACATATACATATATATATATATATATATATATATACATACATACATATATATACGTATATGTATATATATACGTATATGTATATATATACGTATATGTATATATATACGTATATGTATATATATATATATATATATATATATATATATATATATATATATATATATATATATATATATATATATATATATATATATATACCTCATAACTAGCCAGTGTAGAATTTTATTGCACTTTATTAGCACGAAAAAACTGCTGTTGTTGAGCTGACAGGGCAGCTGCTAATTGTTTTACTTTTTAATCTCGTTTGGCACCAGTTTAAGAGCTGAAGGCCTGATGTTTTGTTTCATAATGTAATTTAATATTAAATTTCTTCATTACTTCAACTGATTGCTGGCAAATAAAGCAGATACATTTCCCGCTGACCTCTGTGAAGAAATATCCTTTTCCCCAACGTGACTGAAATTTCCTGCACTCACTGTTGATTTTCCTTTTTCTTGGTTTCGCCATGGCTTGCCAAAATGTGAATCAAAATGTGATCAATTATGTTTTCTTCAGTTTTTTTGGTTCGTTTTGCATCAATACAAGAACTGCTGCCTAATTGAAGGCATGTAATAGCGACACACGGTGGTTATTTATTGAATTACGTACAATAACTACGCGGGCCGTAGTTTGGACACCCCTGCTATATAAGTTAGAGAACAACTGTGTATAATTTACTGAATGAAAAAAGCCTCAACACTTTGTTTTAGACACGTGTTTTTACACTTGAAATTACATTCAGGTGTCCCAGCAGGTACACAATGTCATAAGACATTTATATCAGGTTAGATTTAAATCATTATGTTGGGTAATCAATATTTAATACAGTGCATCCGGAAAGTATTGATAGCGCTTCACTTTTTCCACATTTTTTTTATGTTACAGCCTTATTCCAAAATGGATTAAATTCATGTATTTCCACAACATTCTACACACAATACCCCATAATGACAATGTGAAAACAGAGTTTTTGAAATTGTTGCAGATTTATAAAAAAATAAAAAACCTGAATAATCACATGTACATTAGTGTTTAAAAGTGACGGTGTACAGCCTTTTTCAGATCTCTCCAGAGATGTTCAATAGGATTGAGGTCTGGGCTCTGACTGGGCCACTTAAGGACATTCACCTAGTTGTTGTGAAGCCACTCCATTGATATTTTAGCGGTGTGCTTTGGGTCATTGTCCTGCTGGAAGATGAACCGTCACCCTAGACTGAGGTCAAGAGCACTTTGAAGTAGGTTTTTATTCAGGATGTTTCTGTAAATCAACTGCATTCATCTTTCCCTCTATCCTGACTAGTCTTCCAGTTTCTGCATCTGAAATGGATGGTATTAGCGTTGTGATGAGCGCTGCCTGCTTTTCTCTAAACTTAACGCCTGGCATTCACTCCAAAGAGTTCAATTTTAGTCTCATCAGCTCAGAGAATTTTGCTTCTTGTGATCTGAGAGTCCTTTAGATGCCTTTTGGCAAATTACAGGTGGGGAGTGTCTTCCGTCTGGCCTCTCTACCATACAGGCCTGATTGGTGGATTGCTGCACAGATGGTTGTCCTTCTGTAAGGTTCTCCTCTCTCCACAGAAGAGCGCTGGAGCTCTGACAAAGTGATCATCTGGTTATTGATCACCTCCCTGACTAAGACCCTTCTTCCCTGATCACTCAGCTTACATGGCTGGCCAGCTCTAGGAAGAGTCCTGGTTTTTCCAGACATCTTCTACTTACGGATGATGGAGGCCACTGGGCTCATTGGCACTTTCAGAGCAGCAGAAATGCTTCTGTAACCTTCCCCAGCCTTGTGCCTCCAGACAATCCTGTCTCAGAGGTCTACAGACAATTCCTTTGTCATCATGCTTGTTTTGTGCTTTGACGTGCACTGTCAACCCTGGGACCTTATATAGACAGGTGTATGCTTTTTCAGATCATGTCCAATCAACTGAATTGACCACATGTGAACTCCAATGAAGCTGCTGAAACATCTCAAGAATGATCAGTGGAAACAGAATGTACCTGAGCTCAATTTAGAGCACAGGTGTCAAACTCAGTTCCCAACGGGCCGCAGCTCTGCACAGTTTAGTTCCAACCCTAATTAAACACACCTGATCAAACTAATTGAGTCCTTCAGGCTTGTTTGAAACCTACAGGTGAGTGTGTTGGAGCAGGGTTGGAATTAAACTGTACAGGGCTTTGGCTCTCCAGGAATTGAGATTAAGTTTGACACCCCTGATATAGAGCTTCACTCAAAAGGCTGTTGATACTGATGTACCACTGTTTTTTTTTTTTTTTTTTTTTATCTTTAATACATTTGTAACAACTTCAGAAAAATCATTTTTCACATTGTCATTTTGGGGTATTTTGTGTAGAATGTTGAGGAAATAAATTAATTGAATCTATTTAAGAATACCAGAAAATTACCATAAAAATATGACATAAAAAATGGAAAAAGTGAAGCGCTATCAATACTTTCCAGATGCACTATATACCTTATTTTAACATCCATTAATGACGTCAAATGACGTTGATATTTGGTTGTTTTTAGATTGAGTTGGTAAGTAACACACATCAAACATTGAGCTAACATCTTATGCCAACGTCATATTGACGTCAAACACTGACATTTATTCATCAGGTATAGCAAGCCAAATCTAACATCTGATAGATGTCATAGTAGTAACGTCCACACAAATCAAGCTGTAACATCATTAGACGTTGATAATTGGTTGTTTTTAAGTTGCGTTGGAAAGTAACTAAAATGCCATGTCTGTCCAATGTTGGATGCTGACATTGGTCTGATGTTGGATGCTGATGTCAACTAATTTTTTCCCCCACAACGTTGGAGTACGATGTCAATCTGATGTCTTGTTGACGTCCTGTGCCTGCTGGGATGGCCTTGAAATGCTGCAGTTGTGTTGATTTATTGCACAGAATTGTGTTAATTTTGTAAAGCAGTGTAAACTTTACAGATTTAAAGTGATGGTGTCCTCCAAGGCTATGTGTTAGGTCCTGTTTATTTAGAAGTATCATTGTTTTAATTGGCAAAGAAAGGTTTGTGCTGAGACAAACTGATAATATGCCTTTTAGTATTAAATTAGCTGTTTACACAATGTCATTTTTTCCTAGAACAAAACAAAATAACAAATAACACAAGAGCACATGACTCACTGACTCAACTTAAAATTGTAGGCAACTTGCTGCAGAGATTTTTTGAGTTGGCTCAACTTTCAACCAACGTACTGGACTTGACTCAATTTAAGTCGAGTAAACTCAAAAAAGCTCTGCAGCAACATTTTTACAGTGTGACTTTATGCATTATTTAAAAAAAATGTTGAAATCCATATATATTCGTGTGAGGAATGGGCGGAGATGTAAAATGTCTGTATTGCTCCCTAAGTTAAAACACACCAGTGCATGATTTACAAGGTAGAAAAAATATCACACTTTTCACTAGCAGTATGAGCTGTCTCTCACTGCTGTTTCTGTGAGAAACAAACATCTATTCTGGATGTTATTTTACAGTTATATATTTTTTTTTCTTTGTGCAAAGTTCATTTTAGGATACAGTGGTGGTGTGGATGACTGATAATCTTTCGACTACATTTTGAGGTCTTTTAGGAAGGCAATTATCAATGTGTGCATGTTTTACTATGAAGATTAACAGAAGCGATTGGTAGCAACAAGCCAGCAGTAAAAGACTCTGGTGAAAGAATGTTTATCATGGCCTGGAGATGAAAATCAAGGCCAAGACTGTTAGAGGATTAGTTCACGACAAAATGAAATTCCTGTAAGAGATGTGTTCATCTTTGGCGCACAAATGAAGGTTTAAAAAAATAAATGAATCTTGGGCATTTATGCGCCTCTATTGAAAGTCTATTCTCCAAAAGCTCTCATGTTTCACAACAGTCATGGAATGCAAATTATAATAAATAAATTAATTTAGTTAATTTAGCCCTTTAATATAAGTCTTCTGAAGAGACATACTTGTAACACAGGGAGCTGAGGATCCACATGCAGTTTTATTTACAACTTGGCCAGACAGGCAATGGTCAAAACAGGAGCAAAAAAATATCATAGGGGTAATCCAAAAGCGTAGTTGAGCCTACAGGGTCAAACATGGAAAGACTAAAAAAAGAGAACGCTCAATGTTACAGGTAAACAACAACAAGACTAAGCAATG